ATAACTTAATCCAGAAGCTTCCCAAAGTCCACCATCACCGAAGTTTGCATCTTGCCCTGGGGCTGCAGGTGCATTTGGGGCCACCTCTGCTGCTTGAGACTCAGGTCACAACCCTTTCCCAAAGCAATGTGTTTTGGCCCAGATGTTGCACTGCTGATTTGCATGGCAAGCACTCTGCTCCCAGGGTAGAGCTCTGCAGCTCACCAGGATTGAGGACTGGGGTCCCAGTCAGGTCCAAGGAGCCTTACACACCTTACAGGAGCCACCCAGTAAACATCCCATGTGGGGAAAGCAAACCACATGGAAGTGGGGAAAGAAAGCCAGCACCCCTCTACACCTGTACAAACTGGGTACTGAGCTGCAAAGCCAGGGTCCTCCTCAGTGCCTAAAGGTTTGGGATTTTAAGGTTTCTTCTAAATTCAACATGTGGCAACTCCAGTAGGCAAGAAAGGCAGCAAGTGAGCAGCTTCTGATTTCTGACTGAATGAGTACTGGGTACCTCATTACTACTTACTAAGGAGAAATCCCCAAAGGGATCAGGTTTCACATGTTAAATACTCGAGAATTCACTGTGGCAGCAACTGTATCCCTGTGTGGATATAACAACTTATTTTAGAGCCATTTCTGACTATGACATTTTTAATGTTCTAAGTAGCTCAAACACAGCAACACTCTATACTGGTTATAGGCAAAAGAAGCACAAATCTGTCAAGTTAAACCCTTATCTATGGGCCAGACCTTTCAACCTCCAGTTGATAATTGTCTCTATGTCCTTTGCCAGCTCAAAAACGCAGCTGCAATGAGTACTACTGGACCAGCAGCAGCTGCAAGTTACACCCATTGCAGTATCCCCCTTGTACAGCCTCAAAAGTACAAACTACTATGAAAAATATTCAGCTGCAATAAAGATTATCTATAAGTATAGGTTTCATTAGTGTTTTATTTTGCATGAGGTTTAAAATCACGTTTTTTGCTTTAAGAGAGAAGCAGATGCTAAGGGATATTATATGCTGGGCCTATATAGGTCCATGGGGAAAGAGAAACCAATTCAAATTGTTTTCCTGCTCTCAGAAGGCAGTAGGATCACATGACAAGCACTGCAGAAGCACTCCCTGCTAAAAATAGCGGCATTTTAGGAAGATATTTCAGTCCTGTCTTGAATTCATTAATTATTCACTTTATCTGCATTTTTTTTAGCATCATCATAAATTTCTATCTTTGCAAGAACAGTACTTCCCCGTGCCCTGAAGGAGAAATTTTAAAATAGCCTCTCTTTATCTGGCAGGTTTGATGGATCATGACAGTGCTGTGGCACACATAACTAGCAGACCTTGAATCAGGGGGTCTGCACTGTACTGCACTTGAGATGAGTTAAATGGATTTCAAGCTTACAAATTCAATCTTTATTTTACCAGCCTATCCTGGTTTTACTTTCTATTCACTCACAACACAGCTACGTCTCTTTTGTCCTTCAAAAATTGCAGAAATTCATGTATAAACAGTAGGCAAATACTTCATCATGAACTTGACAGAGCAGTCAGGATTCAGGATCAGATATGTAGGGACACTAATAATCAGCTTTTCAGAGAAGTGAAATAATTTCTTTATAAATTCATCAAACCTTTTCCTTCTAGGACACCTAGAAATTCTGGTTGTAGTCAGAAAGCACTGGAGCAAGTCGGTGTCAGTGACTTTGGATCAGGTTCTGTAAGTATTGTGGGACACTAAAATCCCATAATACCCTTCTTCCCATGCCCTGCAAGGTTGTTACAATAATGGCTCATCCAGTACCAAGAGAGAGAGAAATCAACATCCACCAGGATAGTCATCTGTGTAGAATCATAGAGTCATTTAGGTTGGAAAATACCTTTAAGATCGTCAAGTCCAACCATGAACCTAACACTGCCGAGTCCACCACCAAGCCATGTACTACCACCACCCTGCATAGCATTACTAGCTTACATTCATGTTTTAAGTATGCACTCCATTATTCAAACCAGAAACGAGCATAATGCAGGGGTGAGGCTGGTCCGTCCTGCCAACACCACCTTCTTGTCCCACCAGCTTAGGATGGGAAAGTCTTGATGAAAGCCAACTCTTCCAGTATGGAAAGGATATGATGTTTCCTGATCATAAGTGGCTTGCATTTCTCCTTCTGGCTGTGACTTTTAGAAAGTCCCTCTATTCATAGCTGAAAGCAAGATTTCGCCCTAGAGTACAGCAATTTTTGCATACTTCTATTCTAGCAACTGACTTCTCTATCAATTTTCTAGTGCAAACATTTCCTTGCACCATACTTAAAGTTGCTAGATGTCTTTGTCGAAAGCTGACACAAATACCAAACATACCCAACTGGAACAGCTATGGAAAGTAACCTGCATTCCTGTGAAAGGGGAGGCTGCCTGCCTTGCTCAAATAATTTAGTTCAGGGCCAAATAAGGAGGCGACCTTAAAATTATATCAATCAGATGTTACACCACATTCCACGTGTTTTCTGTGAGGACTGTTCATAGAGCATTCAATTCAAAGTAATTGATTTTCATTTCACTACATTTCCACTCTTCACCTGCTAATTTTTTTAACTCGGAATGTTCAAATAATTGAATTGAACAAAGATGCACATATCACAAGCACAAACCTCCAAGACAGATTTAATTCAGAAGTCTGCTAATGCCTGGTCAGTTAGCAAGCACAGGACCCCTTTCCCTTCCTACATTCTCTACGATCTAACAAAGGAGAAAAATAATTATGTTTTCCTATTTCCAGGCAGACCAATTAAAAGTGAGATTGTAAATTATTAAGGTACATAGTTACAGCCATCACAATGAAAGTTTTGCTAGCTTGTTTAAGAATAGCTATTCCTGTGAAGTAGTTCATTATAAATAAGTGAAAATACACAAAACACATGTACACTGCTCAGAGCATGGTTTCATGACTCTAAAGAACATAAGACATTTGTGTTACTTAGTAGTTGAAAGAACAGTGCAGGGTCCTATACAAAACACCTTAATATTCTTTCTTTTTTCTTTTAAATAACCCTATGGATCTAAAACTCTCATTAATTTTGTAATCTGACAGAAGAAAGCCTCTTCAGACCACCATTCCTAAAATCACAATAAATGCCTTTCATGCCTAGCAAATTATTCTGTTCTATATCATATATCATTTTCCCTTTTGCAAACTGCTACAGTGATTCATAAGAGACAAGAAAACACCTAACCCAGAATTCCAAACAACTATTAACAAGAAATATATCTGATGCAGTCAGCACTTCCTATATACCTGCTGCACGTCATCACCATGTTAATCCATTCTGTCTTAATAAAAATCATGTTCGAATATATAATCTCCTAAATAATTTCATGGAAATCCCTCATTATGGCTACAAGGCATTAATAAAAACTGCGTATGTAGTGAAGAGAAACAACAAAAAACCCCTATTCTTTTCTGAAGTGGTTTGCTCTGCTGTTCTGCCTACCAACACACACATTTTACATGCCGTTGGCCCTTCCCATGCTGTAATGCAAACAGCCTCTAGAACATACTATGTTCAGCTAATAATTAACACTCATCCAGAGCCGTCATAAATAAAGGTCTAGTTTAGCATTTGCTGTGGTATTGTCTGAACTCCCATGCTAAGCCTGTTAGTCTCTGGCTGGGTGAACAAACTCCAGCCACAATGAGAAGCCAAATACCAGGGTCCAAGTAGCTCCACTTTCTTTTCCAAATTAGACCACAGTGTGAGGCAAACTCTGCAC